TATTATTATTATCGGTGCAAGATGGGGCATAATTTGCAGAAGGAAGGGGAGATTTAATTCTTGAAATTAGAAAATTGGCCAAGGTAGTTTTCGAAATATATGCGTTTTCGAAATCATAAATTTTTGTTCAGTCTATGGATGACCTGATAGGACAATATCGATGGAAATCATTGTATATCAGGTGCTTATTGTAGTTTTTTTTTTTTTTTATTCTCTTTATGTTTCTCTCAGGATTTTGCAATGGGGAGAGGATCGACGTTTTGATAAAATTCGTAGTAATTTGGGAAAATTAGCAGTTTTCTGGATATTGCAGGTGGATTTGATTATTCTTTTATCATTCGTGCAATCCTCATATTAAAATCTCATTTTAGCTACTCTAACTCACCATTTCATTGATTCAGGCTGTCTGGGTCTGGACCGTAAGTTTACCTATCACGGTGGTCAATGCAAGCAATCACAATCCATCTCTCCGAGCTGCGGATGTAATTGGGTGGATTATGTGGTTAGTGGGTGTTGTAATCGAAACTACAGCTGATCAACAAAAATTGGCATTTAAAAACTCTCCAGTAAATAGGGGGAAGTGGTGCGATGTTGGACTTTGGAAGGTCTCTCGTCATCCTAATTACTTTGGTGAGGTTAGGCCACTGCCAAAAGTACATTTACTTTGTAACTGGCATTCCTCGTATTCTTTCTTTATGCACTTTCGAAAACTTTGTAAGTAGCTATCTATTTATGCTTAATATTCTTGCTTTATACTGAGGTCCTTTGGCCTTTCCATTAGCTTTAACAAAAGCTCACTCTACTTTATAATATTCCTCTCTAACCGTCCAAACCTACCACTGACAAATATTGCATTTTAAAACCTTGAGGAAGCCTAAAAGGAAAGTCTAAAAAAGACAATATCTGCTAGTAGTAGGTTTTGGCTAATACAAATAGTATCAGAGCCAGACATCGGGCGGTGTGCCAGCGAGGACGTTGGTCCCCCACAAGGGGTAGATTGTGAGATCTCACATCAATTGGAGAGGGGAACAAAACATTTCTTATAAAGGTGTGGAAACTTTTCTCTACTATACGCGTTTTAAAACCTTGAGGGGATGCTCGAAAGGGAAAACCCAAAGAGAGCAATACCTGCTAACGGTTGTTTGGGCGGTTACATCCTCTCACTTGACTTACTAGCCTGCCAAGTCAAGCCAAGGAATGACATTCTTCTTCGGAAGAAGAGTTGCTTGCGCTCTAGGTTATTCGTAGATACTTAGAAAATATAAATATCATTTTCTTGGACACCCTCATATGCCAGTGCTTAGCTTACGATATATTACTTTTCATAGGAAAGAATGCTCAAGATATGAACCTTTGATAAACTCAAATGTTGACATTTGTGATGAAGAAATTGTGTTTCCCTACGAGTAAGGATTCAAATTATTAGTTTGGTGGTGTGTAGCTGCACTGACTTATCGTATTGCGAATTATTTTCTACCACGGGGTTGCATATATTTTCTACCAGATACGTATTTCTCTTAAAATTCTTTTATAGATGAACGCTTTTAACAACGGTGATAACAGATCTTTCTTTGGTGGGGAATCTTCGTTGCTTCCACTCCCGTTCTGGAAGGTATTGAGTGGCTTGTGATACTTGGGCCAATATTCCTAACATTGCTGCTTCTTTTTGTCAGTGGGATCCCTCTACTTGAGGTTTGCTTTCCCCTCCCTTTCAATTAATGAGCAAATCTTTCTTCGACTTAATTACTAGCATGTTTTGTATTAACAGAAATCAGCAGATAAGAAGTTTGGGAATGTGACCGAATACGTACGTTATAAAAGAGAGACTAGGTGGGGTTCTTTTTTTTTCTTGTTCTTTCATTTATTAACACTACCACTAATTTAACAACCATATGGTAAAAGTAATGATCCGTTTGATTCTACTCCAGCCCCCTGATCCCACTGCCTACAGCAATATATGGAAACCTGCCCTCGTGGTTCAAGAAAAACTTTCTATTTGAATTTCCTTTTTACAGCCGCAAATTCCCCGGGGCGAGCAAAACTGGTGAGAAAGATAATTGTAACTTCATTGCTTTAATTGTAACTCATTTGCTTGCTTACGCATGCGTCACCTATATTATGTATCTGAAATAAAGCCAACATCTGTACTCATTTATGACTGATGGTTACTTAAAGCATGTAACAAAAACTATTGATATTTTACCTTTGTAAGTCTGATATCTTGACCGATAGTACTGAGCCAGCATCATTTGAAATTATGCAGGATCTATAAACGAATACCCGTGCATAATTTTTCTTCTTCATTTTCTTATTCTTTGAAGTTATATATTTTCAATTCAGGGATTTTATTAAGTATGACAAAATCATCAGGATGATAACTCTTGAAATGGCACAAGCTAATTCTATCTATTGCCTGAAGTTTCCTACGATTTGTGCAAGGTACAGAGCAAGCAAGGACGAAAGCAGCGACAGATTGAAGAAGGGTTAGCATTTGGACTTGTTGAGTTCTTGTTTACATTAGTTTGATTAGAGCTTACGACACTATCTTGCCACTGTTCCTCTTATGATGTATCTATTGATTACACAACCGACGTTGATACTTGTTTTGATTAATTGTTGTATGACGGAGAGGATATTGTATGAAAAATATGAACTGCTAAATGCCACCTCAAAATCTTCGAGTTTGTACCTATCAAAGTAAACCAAGATGAATCAAAGGGCATATTTTGTCTCTTTTAATATTTTATTCACATGATTATTTTTCAGATTTAGGGAAAATTGCGAATGTTATGTCCGTTAATTCTTTGTTATTACTGTTTTGTGTAGGAATATTGATATTCCCACTTTATGCAGGAATGCTTGCAATCCTCATCATCTTGACTCGTGGGTCATGTGACCCATTATCCTCTGTCTTCTATACTTTAAGGGCATGTCAAAAAGCAATCATTTTTGTAGAAGTGCATCAATAAGTTTACTAAAATGTAGGCTTGCTGCAGGTACAGGAGCTCACATAAATAGCGAGATAAGAATTGAAATGATGGGGTTTGTATTGGTGTTACCCTCAGTCTAATGTGCACACATTAGTCTTTAATCACCTTTTCTAATTGTTCAATCTCATCATCAATGCCTGTCTTTTGATTGCACATGATAGAATTTCCCTGTTTTCTTATCAGACTTTATCTTCTCGTGTATATGGATAGTAATTTGAATTTAATAGAGAAAAGTAATGGATTGAATTGCCAGTGTGTTCTATGATGACAAAAAGCAGCAAAAGATGGAAGTCTTTGGCTGAAGATGATTGATCTTTGAAGCATTCAAAGGAATGATAACTACAAATTTTCCGCTAAGTGGGGGCTGCTTGTTTATCAGCCTGTTCTTTCGGCTGCCGCTGAAATTGAATTGATTTGGTACATTATATTGATAAACACTGACGTTTAAATTGAAGATTCTTTTATAGGCCCCCCAACAGGTAGCCGGTCGCTGGGCCCTTGAGAGTTCTTCCCAGCTAATTTTCAATGCCCTCCTCCCCTCAGTGCTGATGGCCGTAATTTGAAACAGACAGACTCCACTGAGCCAAGGTAAAGGCCTTAACCGAATATTTCAATTCAAATTTGCAACTGTTTCGTAATATACATGTTCTTAAATGAAAAAGTAGTGTTTAGGTGAACTTTTTTTAAAAGAAAAGCAAGTGTGTCAAGTAGAGTGGAAAATGGCTCCCTTTTTAAATATATTTTCATGTGAAAAGCACTGCCATTGGATGGCTGACCCAGCTGGCATGCTTTACCTTATAAAGATATAGCCAACGGAACACACTAGAAATCCACTCACACTATCCCAGCACAGCTTTTCACCTCATGTAATACTGTCATTTCCATATTAGCAATTGGGACAAGAGACTGCGATTCTTGCAAGCTAATCAGCTTCTTAGTTCCCTTTTACTCATAAGTCATAGTCCACAAGAACCAAAAGCCAGCCATTAATACAAGGCCCCAACGGCCAAAAGCCTATTAATACCTAGTAACAATAGAGAGAGAGAGAGAGAGAGAGAGAGATAGATGGCATCAATTTAAGTCCATTAGTCAAAGCCACTATTCCCCATAAACAAACTCCTATCAAAAGTATCATAATCCATCCAAAGTTTTTCTTTGCTTTTGCTTTAAAGTGCATCTAACTGTGACGAGGGCAAAAAGTAACCAAATAGTTGCCACCAGTGCAAGTTGCAATGCTAGTGGGATCATCATAAGCATAAGAGTAAGCCTTAGGACAAGCGGTCTTGAAGATCTTGGAATATGCGGTTGGCTTGCAGGACTGCGGATTACCAAACCTGCCTGTGCAGCAATACCTTGGAGAATTGAATGCAGAGCAAGCACTTTTGCAGGCCACCACTCTGTGGTCATCGTGAGATCTAACTTGTAAACCCACAGGACACATCATGTTAAGGTCACTCACACACCCAGCATAGCTACATTTCCCCGAGCCTTTAGAGGGGGTAATGGACATAGCCAGATTGTAGCCATCAACAAGGCTCACATCATAGAAATCTTGGTCATTTCCAAGTGTAATCTCAGCAAGTGTGGCTGGTGGGGCACCTCCAATGCCATTGCAGTAGAGGGCACCACCACAATCCCCTGTAGCGCACTTGCCTCTGCCAGATGCGTCAAAAGCACAGCCATGGCGGCCCCAGAAACGGCCAGACCACAGGGCTGGAAGGCGTAGAGAGTAGCCCTTGTTGGGTGGGAGCTTGAAGCCTCCGCGAGCCAACAAGGGCTTGCCAGCACTGGGCTGAATGCCAGGCCAAACTGGATGAGGGCATTTGTTGTAGAATGTTATTGTAGTTGCAGAGACGAAAACTGTAGCAAATGCAAGAAGAAAAACCATGGAGTTGAGTCACATTGTTTAGAATCTAAGAACACAAAACATAACCCGAAGATTTCATTAGTGAGTCAGTTACCTGAATTGTAGGAAGTCAAGAGGGTGTAGAGAGTGAGAACCACAAGAGATCTCAGATAAACCATCGTGACTGATAGTGTTATAGAGAGTTAGAGAGAGTATGTCTTTCTTCTGCTCAAGCTCCCTCAAAAAGTTGATGGATATGAGTGCTTATATAGAGAAATAGACAATGCAGATCAGAGGGGAAATGGAGTAAAATTAGGAGGAGAGAGACCAGGCGCACTCAAAAAGTGGACTCGGATTGATGGGAGAACGAATCCTTCGTTATAAGATGGTAAAAAACTCTCTTCAGAGATAAAATTCAAGAATAAAAGTTTAAAAAAGACAATATTTATTTTAGAGCGGGGTTAGAGAGAGGGATAAATGATGACAAAGTTGCCCAGTTCCCAAAGATGTCAGAAGCACAGGAGGGGCTTGGCTGTGTTCATTTTACAAAAAGGAAACTCCTTCACATGTCAAGGGAATCTGTTTTGAATAAAAGTATGAACTGGCCTACTGGTTGCCTCTCTCCTCCATTCTTCAAAAAACTGTAAACCACTTCACTTTCTCCAATGAACCTACTAATGACTGCTACCCATTTTAGATTCTTCCACGAGGACCAAAACTTGCCTGTCATTATTATTATTATTATTACTTTACATTCTTTATTTTCCTGATTATAAATTTGATTTTTGTGGATAAAATTTATCAAGAACTTTTGCTATTAGTTTATGTACTTAGCCTTCATTAGATCCTATAGAAAAGTATTTGAATTTTTGTTGTGTGTTAATTTGGATGAGAGGAATGTTGATTCAATCAATTATGGGAAACAAGACATATTTCGAAAAAATTCGAAACACAGAACAATATAAGAGATCAAATAAGAGAAAATTAATGTTTATGTTCTTAAACACTCAAGCACATAATAGATATACAAAAAAACGATATTTGAAGAGGTTTGGATTAGAAATAATTACCATTTCAAATATTAGCGCGAGTTCTTATTTCACAAACTTATTATGTGACAGTCTAAGGCTACTACTAGTAAATATTATTTGTTTTGACCATTACGTATAATCGTTAATTTTATACCAGAAGGAAGTTTCTACACTCTTATAAGAAATACTTCGTTCTCTACTCTAACCAGCAGGATCTCATATGAGATTATTGTCTTTTATTAAAAAAAAAACACTATTATTTCATAACAGTAAAATCCAAAAATAACGTATCCTTTAAAAAAAAATTGGTAACCCAATGATTTAATCTAATGATAAATTTAGTGTGAGAATTAATTTTATAATTAATTGATTGATGATATTAACAACAGCAGTATGGTCGGCACGTGTGGATTTGGTAGATAGTTGGTGAAGAAAGTACCATGCACACGTTTGGCGCAACTGAGCACAAACTTCGATCTTTTCGCATCAACGGCTCACATTCCTTCATTCTATTGATTACCACACGTTAACAAAGTTACATCGAATTTCCCTTTATACCCTTCTCTTTTCTCTTTTTCTTTTTCACTTTTTTACTTTTACCCTAAAGATAAATTCTCTTTGCTGGGGCCGACACCAAAGCTAACGCCGTCAAATGGCGACTCAATTTACATTATTGTCGTTTATTAAACTGTTTGGTCCGGACGACAGATCTAATACTTTTTAAAAAAATAAAATAATAATACAAAATCAATAATCAATTTGAAAAGGAAAAAGAAAAAAACATTCTTAAATTTAGGGGAAGAAACAGAGGAATATTTAAATGATTTTATGTTTTTTTAAGTATGGAAGCCCACAAGCAGCATCCTTTTTAGTCCGATCTTTTATATGTTTATTAAATATAAAGTTAGATTTGAATTATATATTTTACGGTCAAAAACCATAATAAAACAAAATCATTCACATGCTCCTATTTTTATAATATTCAAAACTTAATGCATATTTAATCTTTAAATTTAAACTAACCGGATTGGTTCTTCGAAAAATAACTTAGTTATCGTGAGATCTCTATAAAGGTGTAAAAACTTCTCTTTATTTAAAAACTTCAAAGAAACACTCAAAAGGAAAAATCAAAGAAATAATATCTACTAGCGATGAGTTTGAGCGGTTACAAATGACATCAGACATGAGTGGGAGAGGGAAACGAAACATCATATAATAATATCTGTTAGCGGTGGGCTTGAGCTGCTACAGTTATTATTTCTTTCATCCTTTTTTATTTACCGTCGTTTAATTTTTGACGTAACAAAAATGAATCCGTTCATTAATATGCTACGTTTTAATCTCTCACGAAAAAAAAAAAAAGGTATATATATATATTTTGAAATTTTCCAATTTGAAAACGTTTAGCTACAACATTCGGTATATGTAATATATAGTACGTTAGATATTTTTAATGATTATATAATATATAATCCTTTTGATTAAGTCAGTTTTCGTTTTTGGGCTTCGTTAGAGCTTTTCAGCAAAGCATTGGATTTGGGCTTAGGTTTGGACCATGATCTCTCCCTACTGGCCCAACAAGACTTTTCCTCATAGGCCCCATCAGGCCCAACAAGAATTTATTTATTTAAATCTATTTCTTCACAGCCCATCAGGCCCAAGAATTTATTTATTTAAATCTATTTCGGCTCCATCAGGCCCAGGCCCAACAAGAATTTATTCATTTAAATCTATTTCTCACAGACCCCATCAGCCCCAACAAGAATTTATTTATTAAATCTATTTCCTCTCAGGCCCCATCAGGCCCAACAAGAATTTATTTATTTAAATCTATTTCGGCCCCATCAAGCCCAGGCCCAAACATAATTTTTATTTAAATCTATTTCGGCCATCCGGCCCAACAAGAATTTATTTATTTAAATCTATTTCGGCCCATAAGGCCCAACAAAATTTATTTATTTAAATCTATTTCGGCCCATAAGGCCCAACAAGAATTTATTTATTTAAATCTATTTAGGCCCATCAGGTCCAACCAGAATTTATTTATTTAAATCTATTTCCTCTCACAAAAAAACTATTTTATTCTCTAATCGTTAAAAAAAAAAACATAATAATATTAGCAAGCATGAAGATTGCTACTCCCCAATCCAAATATTCCGCTTTCGATAGTCTCACGATTTTAAAACGCGTATATTAGGGAGAGATTTTTACACTCTTATAAAAAATGCTACGTTCCCCTCTAAACCAATATAGGATCTCACAATTCACACCCCTTGGGAGCCCAGCGTCCTCGCTGGCATATTGCCCGATGTTGAGCTCTAATACCATTTGTAACCGTCCAAACCCTCTACTAGCAGATATTGTCCGTTTTAGCTCATTGTGCATCGCCGTCAGCCTAACGATTTTTAAAAACATCTACTAGAAAGAGTTTTAAATTTTTACACTCTTATAAGAAGTGCTTCCTTCCTGAAATCTTAGCGATGATGAGGGGATGATGACGAAAAAGAAAGAAAGGGATGATACAATGATGGCTCAAAACTCACTCAATTAAGGAGAAACTTTGTTATAATATGTGGAACCAAAGGAAGGTATAGGTTGAAGTCTTGTCACTTTCTCCTGTTTTTGTCTTACAAATCTATAAACAATATGGCCCCAAACCACTGCCACACTCTCTTCTTCTTCTCTTTCTTTCTGCCACCTCTCTTTAATTCTCTTCTCGTTAATTAATTAATTTCATCTCATTCCAGAAAGAATAGAGAATGTGCAGGATGACTATATGATATATATAGTCATTTGCGGAAATCTGTGTCTTTTTGTAAACAGGTGCTCGGGTCTAGTCATTACAACCCCTTTATGAGAAGGCATCCCTTCTCCCATCCCTTCTCCCAAAGTTATGGAGCTACCAAGTTACTCAGAGAGAATTGTCTCAAAAAATCTCTCTCTCATGGTTAAAAATTTTGTCTTTGAAGTTAAAAACCCTAAACATGAAAAGGGTTGGACGGAAATATATCATAGCCCATCAACTTAAACTTTTGTATAGAATAGTGATTTAACACGATATTAGAGTGGGAGGTCTATATTAACAATCACGTTCTCTCTAATTAACATTAATCTTCACTTGTTTGAGTTTCTACAAAATTTTAAATTCCCGAGCGAATAGAAGCATTGATACAATCAAATTTTAGTATAACAGTTGATTCAAACGCAACGATGTGCACGATTTCGGCCATGAAATGAAAATCCCATATGGCAAAGGAAAGTGTTGACCAACATCCATCAATAAAACATCCCAAAACACAAACCCCATCAACTTTTACGTTCATAAATACAAAAGTTGGGAGCTCAAACAAAATCTATATTCACTACAAGCTTGACTTAAACCCTCTAGCCTTGATGAGTATGAGAGTAATAAGCAACCAAATTAAGGTGAGTTCTTCAATGGAAGGAATTCAAAGAACTGAAGTGGAGTAATATTAGCTGAACTTCCCACCGTCTCAAACCCATTTTTCCCTTCACTAATCTCACCATTCCGTGACTCACTGCACAAAGGAAAAAGTTGAAGGGTTTCAGCTTCTTCTGATTCCTCCAATTCTTCCACCCCATTTGGTGCAAAGCCTCCAATATTAGAATGAGATTTTGAGTGCATTATTGTTGTAACTGTGGAGGTGGCGGCGGTGGTGGTGGGGATGGGGGCTGTGTTCATCATGAGCTGGGCTCCTCCGCCGTCGAGAGCGGTGGTGGGGGGAGAATGCATGAAGTGCAAGGAGGAGGAGGGTGGGTTGTTGTTGTTTTGAACAAGGCTTTGGAATTGGATCCATCCACGGTGTGTGGTGCAAGGGGTTGGCGGTGGTTGAATGGGAGCAGATTCCTGTGTGGAAAAGAAAGGCATAAATCCAAAGCATTGTATGGAAAGGCGCGGAGCCCAAAATGATGTCCAAAGTTTGGTAAGAGGGAGGTTATAGAGCCGACAGAAAGGAAGGAATGCAGCTTTTTAGAGGCTTTTCATTTCCCAACAAACAAACCGCTTTCTTCTTCTCTTCTTCTTCAAAAATGCATCATCATCTCATCTCATGCATGGGGATGTTTTCATAATCATTACCATAAATTATTCTACACTAATTATTCTCTCTCTCCGCACTCGAACTGATTCATTCCCCTCTCTGATCGATGTGGGATCTCACTGGCACTCCGCTCGATGATTGGCTCTGAAACCATTTGTAATAGTCTAATTCCATCGCTAGCAGATATTGTCTTCTTTGGCTTCTAACGTATTGTGGTCAGCCTCACGATTTTAAAACGCGTCTACTAGGAGAGGTTTACACTCTTATAAGGAATGTTTCATTCCCCTCTCTAACCGAGGTGGAATCTCACAATCCACCCCCTTGTGGGCCCAGTGTCCTCTTTGGCACACCGCCCAATGATTAGCTTTGATACCACTTGTAATAGCTCAATCTCATCGCTAGCAGATATTGTTCGCTTTGGCCCGTAACGTATTGTGGTCAGCCTCATGGTTTTAAAACGTGTTTGCTAGGAGAGGTTTCCACACCCTTATAAGGAATGCTTCATTCCCTTCTCTAACCAATGTGGGATCTCACAATCCACCCCATTGGGAGCCCAGTGTCCTCACTGGCATACTGCCCGTTGATTGGCTCTGATACCATTTGTAATAATTCAATCCTTCGCAAGTTTCATTCCCCTCTCTAACCGATGTGGGATCTCACAATCCACCCCCTTGGGAGCCCAGTGTCCTCACTAGCACACCGTTCAATGATTGGCTCTGATACCATTTGTAATAGTCCAATCCCATCGCTAGAAGATATTGTCCGCTTTGGCCCGTAACGTATCGTGGTCAGCCTCACTGTTTTAAAACGTGTATGCTAGGAGAGGTTTTCACACTCTTATAAGGAATGCTTCATTCCCTTCTCTAACCGATGTGGGATCTCACAATCCACCCCTTTGTGGACCCAGTGTCCTCGCTGGCACACCGCTCGATGATTGACTCTAATACCATTTATAATAGTCTAATTCCATTATATTATCCATTTTGGCCCGTAATATATCCTGGTCAGTCTCACGGTTTTAAAACTTGTCTACTAGATAGAGGTTTTCATACCCTCATAAGCAATGTGGTATCACATGATCAACCTCCTTTGGAGGCCCAGCGTCCTCACTGGCACACCACCTAGCTCAAACCCATCGTTAGCAGATATTATCGTTAGTCTCACAGTTTTAAAATGCTAGGAAGAGGTTTTCACACACTTATAAGAAATGTTCCGTTCCTCTCTCGAACCGGTTAGTATAGCATAGGGAAAAGGAAGAAGAAATTAAGAAAGAAGGTGAGAGAGAGAGAAAAAATAGAGACCTCCGGAAGTGTTGTGCAGTTGGAAGAGGGCGCCCAGTTTTTGGTCTGTTCTTCATATACTGTCCTACCCGACCCTGTTCACAAAAGGTAAAACAAAAAAGACTACGACTTTACGTCTCAACAAACAAATAGAATGTTTAGAACAACCCAACAAAAAATTTTGAAAAAGGGAATCATCGTCCTACCCAAAATACTCCGTCTAATTGTCTCAAGAGATGTCCATTTAACTCGTAAAAATACTACATTATGTCTAATAAAGTAAAAAATTTCGATTTAACTCCGAGTATGCTATCCATATTGAAATTTGAGATTTTAAAAATTATATTTTTCTTATGAATTGTAATTGAATGGATGAATTGTCGCTCCAATTTCCATAAAAATAAATAGAAAAAAAATTGTAAAAATAGGGATTAAATTTGGTAAATTTATGTTTTTGAATTTGATTGATTACAAAGAGATGGGTAGTAAGGGGATCGGACCTGAATCTTTCCTTTCAAGGATTCCGGGTTCGGGAGCGGAGTGGTCGGCGGTGATGGCGGATTCCATCTGACGACGTCGTTTCTGGCGTTCTCTAGCTTTATGATTCTGAAACCAATAGAACACATTCTTACCTTCAATCTTACCATACCGACGAAGCTGAGCAGTGATATGTTGAATTTGATCGGCGGAGGGAGTTCGAGTCCCCCGCCGATACAATTCCTCCAGCACTCTCAACTGCTCCGGCGTAGGGTTCCACCGCGAGCTAACCACGACGGGCGGTGGCGCGTTGTTCAACTCTCTCTTGGTCTGATCAGTCACGGTGGCTGCAACCACACATGAAACACATGAACAATAGAAGAAACAAAAAGTAGAAAAAAAAAAGAGAGAATTAGAAGATACCCATGTGGTGAAATTGGGAGAAGAAATCGTTGGTGTGGATAAGGTTGAAAGGAGGATTAACGGCGGCGGTGGAGGAAAGAGAAGAGAGAGGGCGAGGAAGGAGAGGCCTAAGGCGGCGAGGAGTGAAGGAATCGGTGGGGAAGTTCAAATCTCCGGCGTCATTGTAACCCATCATCCACATATTGGTTGAAGGAAGGAGAGGTCGGTGTTAAAAAGCGTTGATGGGTTTGGAAGAGGAGGTGAAAGGGAGTGGAAAAATGGAGGGTTTAGAGGGAAGGGGGATAGGCGCCATTGAAGAAGAAGGAAGAGGAAAGGGAAGGAAAGGCGTGGAATTCTGGGGTGAGGGTTGTTGGTTTTAGTGTGTTTTGGGGAGTGGTGAGTGAAAAGCGACGTGACGATGATGAGGGTTATCATAAGCTTCTCATCACACTCAAATAATATTTGTGTGTTTTTTGTTTTATGGTTTGCTCTCATTAATTGTCTTCCTAATGTCTCGTGCCTTTCACTCTTATTCTAAATCCAATCTGCCTCTCTTCTCTCTCTCTCTCTCTCTCTCTCTCTCTCTCTCTCATTTTCCTGTCTTTTTGTACGTTTCCATTCCCTTTTTACCCTCCTCTTCCATCTCTCTCTCCTCCTCTATTCTCTCTCCTCAATCACTAACAAATCTCTCTCCTACTCTCTGTGTTTGTCTGTGAGGATAGTCTTTGCTCGTAATCCTGTTGCTAGGAATGTTTGGATAAGTTTGCTCTATTAGAGAAAGATTTGTGGTTTGTAGACGAATTCTTTGTGTGGTTGGGGAGAAAAACGAAGCATCCTTTGAGAGTAATCTCTTTCTAGTAAACGCGTTTTAAAAATCTAGAGAGGATGCTCGAAAGGGAAAGCCCAAAGAGGACTATATTTGGTAGCGGTGGGCTTGGTCTATTACAAATGGTATCGGAGCCAAACACCGAGCAATGTGTCAGCAAGGAGGTTGAGCCCTGAAGGGGATGGACATGAGGCGGTTTGCCAATCTCCAGTAAGGAGGTTGAGCTCTGAAGGGGGTGGACACGAGACGGTATGCCAGTAAGGACGCTGGGTCTCGAAAGGGGTGAATTGAGGGGTCCTACATCGATTGGAGAAGGGAACGAGTGCTAATGAGGACGCAGGCTCAAAAGGGAGGAGAATTGTGAGATCCCACATCGGTTGGAGAGGAGAACGAAGCATTCTTTGAGGGTATGATAATCTCTCTCTAGTAAACGCGTTTTAAAAATCTAGAGAGGAAGCTCAAAAGGGAAAGCCCAAAGAGAACAATATCTATTACAAATGATATCAGAGTCAGACACCGAACAATGTGTTAGCAAGGAGGTGGACATGTGGTGGTGTGCCAACCTCCAGTAAGGAGGCTAAATCCTGAAGAGGGTGGACACTGAGATAGTATGCCAGAAAAGACGTTGGGTCCCAAACGGGATGAATTGGAAGGTCCCACATCGATTGGAGAAGGGAACGAGTGCTAGTGAGGATGGAGGCTCTGAAAGGAAATAAATTGTGAAATCCTACGTCGGTTAGAGAAAAGACTAATAGACGCGTTTCAAAAAGAATAATATCGACTAGTTGTAGACTTGTATAGATGCGTTCTCAATTTTAAGACGTTGAATTCAATGGACGTCCAAAATCTGAATCCATGTCCTGCTAACCCCATGCACCTTTTTTCTACCTTCTCTCTCTCCAGAGTAGTCCATTATGATAGGAATGACTCAATTTTCGAGCCTCTCTCTCTCTCTCTCTCTCTCTCTCTCTCTCTCTCTCTCTCTCCAAGACAGACCCATACAGACAATTTTGAAATGAAACCCATAATAATTGTTTAATTATTTCTAGGAGAAGAAAATTAAAAAAAAAGATTGTTGGGTAGAGGACCAAGGCTAGTCACTGCTGTTTCTGAAAACCCTACTGTCTGTCTCTGCGTATTTATAATCTGTCGTGTCTATTACATTGTGTGTAATATATATCAGGAATAATACCAAACCATCACAATCTCCAACCCCCAATACATTCATATATTAAAAAAAAAAACACCAAAAATATTGGATTTTTGGATCCAACACAAACCCATTTCGTGTTTTTTTAAAAAATTATCAAACACAATTGTGGAGTGTCGTTGTTCCTGATAGGTAGCCTAAAGTGGGTCGGAGAATTATTAAAAGACATGGAAAGAAAGAAGGAAGGAAGGAAGTCAAGTTGTGAGCAAAACACGACAGCTTTTTAATGTGATTGAGGTAGAAATATGTTGGGTGGTAAAGCAGGTAAGTGGTAAGTAAATGCATGGATATTATAAACTCAAAACAAAAACAAAAGCCACCAGCTGATGAACCAACACATTCCAATTCTCTGGATCATCCAATACGTAATCAACCTCCCTTTTTGTCTCCCAATTATTATTATTATTATTATTATTATTATTTCTTTTTCCTTTTTTGCTTTAATTCTTATGTTAATTTTGTAAATAATATTTATTGGAAAATGAATTCACTCACCCACCCAACCACCAACAATATTTATTGTCTAATCACTTTTTTATCCTTATTTTTTCTAAATAAATTATATTTATTAAATAATAAAAAAATAAAACTCCAAAACATGCATTGCTAATCATGCTCGAAACCTCGTTCTTCGTCAAACATTCCCATCCGAACATGTGAATGTGGTAGAACTCGTAATCGTACCCTCATCTACTCGAGCATTTGATGACTCACACCTTATGTTATCAAGTTCCCCGCCAACATTCAAAATACCTCAACCAAATGTTTTTTTTGAAAACTGTCTATTAAGAACCACGACCCTCAACAATAGTACGATATTATCCACTTTAAGCATTCTCTTAATTAGTCGACTCTTCTTCCAATAATCCTCAACACTACCTTTCTGTTCTCGAACCGAAACACACAATTTTTAGTTAAAAAAATAAGGATAAAATGAATTAGTTAATTAACAGTGAGTTAAATTGGTGATTAAAAGGTGAAAAAATGAGGATGTCTTGTCTCAGAAAACATCGCCCCCACTTTATGCAGTTATGTCTCGTTAATGCCATTGCAGTGCATGGTTGTGTGAGAGAGAGACAAAAAAAATTAAACCTTTTGGGTTTCTTTTTTACTCAAATTTTTTTACACATTCAGAATCAGAGATAAAATGAAAATTCAAATTCGTTCGAGTTTAAATTCGTG